GATGTTCATGTCAGACCTGATGGGGAACCCATGGCCCTTAATTCAAATTTTCTAAAACTAAGAACAAGCAGGGAAAAGATGGTATTTGTGATGCCTGCAAACCGCATTAGCCGCTGTTCTGGGATCTAGTGAGTAGAAGATCACGATAGGCAGGGCGGGTTACTATCGCGATAAGGGGACTTTCCTGGATTGAGAAATAGCTGCTGACACATCTGGCTTCTCTGGGATTGAAAACCACAAGCCAGCTAAAGGAGAAAGAGCTACTGGGAAGCCATGCTTGTGATGAGTAAGAAATTCCCATCTTCACAGAGGTGGGAATTTCGAAACTGGTTTTCAAAATCCGCATCTCAGCCTCTGATCTAAAATGGGATTTCCTGTTAAGAAAGAAGTGAAGAGACTGAAATTGAAACAGGAAAGGTTGTGACTAGAGCATCGCAGGAACTTGAAAGCACAGCCTTTCCTAAAACGCAAGACTGGAGTGGATGGCAACTTGTCCCTGACTAGGTATACCCGGGACCACACGATTCACTGGTGGTCCCTGTGGCCCCAGCGAGCAGTGACTCCCATGACAAGGAAATCGCAATGGTGACACCATGGTGACAAGAAATTGCAGCAGAGATGGCAGGGCCAAGAACTGGTGACAGTGAATCTGCTGCAAGAAGGGTCAGGACAGCACACCAGCTGCAAGAGAGCAGTCGTGATGGTGGTTCTGTGGCTGAGAAGCTGAGGGCAGGGCAATGCCAGGAATGCTCCTGATCAGGACAGACTTCATTTCCTGCTAAACTCGAGTCACCTCTGAACCCAGTTTCCCATGGATGGGGAGTGGTGAAGAGATTGCAAGTTCAATCATATTGAAACTTGATTGAACCCAGAAAAGGAAACCAGGGTCCTGTGACAGCATGAGGTCCCCACAGAAACAGGAGTGGGTTCTTGCAGCAGAGAAAGAGCAGAGGGTCCAGTTGGTGGGTGTTGGAAAAAGAAATTGCAGTGCAAAAATGCGCAAAGGCTCTCAGAAAATGTGGCTCTATGCACCCAGCCCAGTGGCCACCAAGGAACATAGACCACAAGGCCACCATGGAAGCCTCAGCACTGCTGCAGCCTAGAAAATGGACCTGCACAGCAGTGGAGCAAGGGAAAATCAACTGGGAGAACATGATGCTCCCACCAGGGATCCTGTAAGGGATGGTGACTAGTGGTGCTGCCAGTGATAAACATTCACTTTGGCACAGTCCATGGTGTTGTTGTGAAAACTGGTGACACAGGAAAGGAGTGGTGCAGCCACCAAGACTCTGGCAAATGTGTGCAGTGACAGAACACCCACTGAGCTGCCAGTCAGGGCTGAATGGGAAGACCAGGCACTGCTAGGGCAGCAGAGGCACTTATGGTCCTAGGACAGAGAAACCAACTCCTCTGAGCCAGGAGAAGTCCAACTGAGGAGAGATGGCACCAACTGGTTCCCCTATGGGTGCTGCATGTGAGCTCGATATTACAGAAACTTGAGACATCTTAGCTTTAAGCACTGGAAGAGCAGATGTCATGATGTGACCAAAACAAATGATGCTTTTTCTTTTTTAAATGTGGTGGAACCCGCTAATACCAGGGGCACAGAGAAGGAAGTGGCAGGTCAGTAGGACATCCCTGGGGCAGCAGGATAGGATTGGTCCTGAGGCCCATCCACTGCAGACCAGCATAGTGTACCCTAAGTAGTCCCCTTGAGCTAAGAAAACTTTTAATATTTTGGCCAAGGCTGGATATCCATTATGGAAGTTCTCAACCAGGGGCCCATTGCATTGGACTTGGAGAAAAGTCTGAGTAGGGCCAGTAATGAGGGTGGAATTCGGGTGGCTTCAAGAATAAAGACAAAGACAGATTGGTGGTGAACATTCTCCACTGTCAAGAACAGGCCTTTTGGTGCTGGTAGTGATTGGGTCCCTTTTTGCCACTCCTAACTCTCAGGCCCTTCCCCTGTATAGAATCCAGGGCTAACCAGCAAGGCTAAGAATATTGGCCTTTTGGATAGTGACACTTTGGATCAGGAGGACCAGGCAGTTTTGCTGTCAGAGGAGTAGTAGACCAGGACACGTGCCGTGCCCAGACACTTTTGGCTCCTGCTCCTAAAGGCCTGGCTCTGTGAAAGCTGATCCTTTAATGGTGGTTAGCTAGGTAAAATGTCTGGGATATTTGGGGTGGAGGGGGCGATCATGGAATTCTAGACTTCAACATGGGAGTTGGGAATGGGCAGGAGGTCTTTGAAGTTCTCAATCTGCTGTTCTCAACCCCACCAACTTTTTTCATTCTGTGTCCCTTGCATCAAGCACAGCACACCAGGGAGCCTTGCTTGGTAGCAAGGGCTTCACCACTGATCTCACCCTGCCCTCAAGTAATTGCTTAAGTGAATCAATGAAGTTCTTCTCTGACTTTTCTTGGCACTGCAATGTGAAGTTTCAAGTACTTCTTTCCTCTTCTTCCCCTCTTCAGTAAGACTGAGTTCTCAGAACTCCTTCATCATGGAGGCAAATGTCCCCTCCCACAATTTCCCTGCTTCCCTAAGGAAATGAACTACTGTGATTGAAAGCCCATAGATACCTCCAGAGTCTACCTTGTGATCTCCTATGTCCTCCATATTGCCAGTCCTCTGGTGGATGATCACCTTCTAGTCAACTCCATTTCTTTCTGGTTGAACCTGGGTGAGGTCCTCAGAAGAAAGGAAGAGAATGATCCAGACAGGAAAGAAGATCCTGCAGGGGTAGAGGAGCCCTTTGAGTAGCCTTCCCAAAGCACCTCTAGTCACTTTCTTGCTGATCTTCCACACAGTTCCTTTTCACTGGTTCTTTTATTTCTGACACATAACTTCTATCATCTAGGGCCATATACAGTAACTGATTCAGGAGGTCACAAGTTTTTGACTCCTCAACCACCACTTGGCAAAAACTATGGGAGTCTCTCCAATGGGAGGAATGCATGGGGTGTGCTGACATTATGAACCTGGGCTTAGCTTAGTTCAGATTACTCAGGGTGTTTTGAATGTTGTGGTGCAAATCTGAAGCACTAGGAGACCTCGGGGAAGTTCTTCTTTCCCACATCTATGGGGTAAGTCTGGATGGACTTGACTGTGAAACATCTAGCAGGAAAAGTAAAGGTACACACACAATTTCTCCTGCAAAAAGGAGATACTTGCATAGAGTTAAACTAAAACTGTGAGATCTGTGAAATAAGTCTTAACTAATCCATTGCACATGCTAGCAGAAAAAAAGCAGGTTCTAGGCAAGTTCCTGAACTATCAGAAAGGGTAGGTGAAAGTAAGAAATGTGTTAACTGGACCTGAGAGCCTAAAGCACTTTCATAATAAACCATTGGGGGAGGAAGCATAGAGAGTTGAGAATACACTAGCTATAGTAAGAGGAACGGGGTAACATAAAGTGGGAAAATTTGTAGGATAGGAGGACAGTCAAGGAGAAGATTATTGGTTGTCTCTGGATTGGGGGTTAATACTCCAGAAAGGTCATTTACAAATCAGCTGTGGTAACACCTGGCAGTCACACCTGGGGTTATAAGTCAAGGTTTCTGCGTGTCTTCAGGAATGTTTAGCAGGGTTTTATTACTTTGACACATGGTATAAATGGATGTACTTTGTTGTCTTGTCTTCCCTTTCTCCTCCTACCCATGTAATTAAATTCATGACATCTTTACATTTTCATGACCCCAATTTACCTTTAGTCCATGAAAATACATTAAAGCATTCTAATATTAATTGGTGTAAATGTTAATTTGATTTTGAGACCCTTTCAAATAAACTTTACAAAATGTCAAATTTTGTTTTGTTTTGTTTTGTTTTACAAATGTGGTAGATTGAGTGTTTTTGTTGTGGAGAGACACAGACTCAGAGTAGAGTTGGAGGGAAGCTGTGTGGGCAATCCTGTAGATGACTCTGAGAGGCTCACTGGCTGACATGGAGGATCCACATCAGTCAGATAAGGGGGTTGGGAAGTGTGTGAGAGTGAGAGTTAGGGGAGCAGATAGCCAGGGGACTGTGTTCACAGAGCTTAGGCTTCAGTTGTAGCTCAGTATCATGAACTTGGCTTCTCTGGGGTCCTGAATTCCATAGTACTAAGTGGTAGCTTCTCCTACTTAAGGGTTGCCAGTATTACAGAAGGAGCAGAGATCAAACTTGGTAACAAGCTTTGTCTCTCAAAAGTTGCAACCCACACATCCACAGCTCTAAGAGCTTATCTAGGGGAAACACCCTACCAGGTCATCCTTCACCTTCCAAGTGGCCCTGGGTGTCCAGAGGCAGTTAATTCTGATTGTCGGTCTCAAAGTCAGCTTTAAATCTGAGCAAGACTGGGAATGGACTTGGCTGAATCTAGGATGTAGTTCTACTGGACACCCTATATGTGGTCAATTTTCTCTCTGAGATTAACTCTTTGGTTTTCAGATTCTGGGTCTTTCTGCCCTCTCTCACCAGCCAGCCAACACCACCCCCAAGGGCCTAAATACATAGACTCACCAAAACCAAAGCTCTGAGCCACTCCTACACCCCATATTGTTTGAACTAACCCTAATCTCTTGTCCTGGAATCCCTGTTCATGAAATTAAGACATATACAAAAGATTCAAATATTTTTTTCATTTTCCATGAAAGAGTATTCTGAAGAAAAACTGTAAGATTCCAAGATGAAATATTCAATAAAAACTTTTTAAAAAATGAAATATGAGAGACATTTTCTATTTTGTTTTTTCTTTTGTTAAATAATTACTTATACAAATTGATCAGTGCTAATAAAAATAAAGAGATAAAAGGGAAAAATGTTGCTCTTAAAGGTGAATTACCAAAAATTCCGACGTATTCTCAAAGAAAAAATACATTTTCAAAATAGAACTTGATATATACAAGGTCACAAAAGGAATGCACATGAAGTGAATCTGGTTTAAGTTTTTTTTTATTCATAAGGTGCATACAATGCTTGGGTCATTTCTCCACCTGACCCAACAATCCCTTACCACATGAATCTGTTTTGACAGAAGAAAAGCGCAAGCAATAGACAACCTGAACGGCACAGGGAAACGTCAGGAGAAAGAATAAAGCACCAAGTATAAATGTCATTGCGTCTTTATTTCCTGAGTAAAGACATTTTGTGAGACGAATCCTTCCAAAGAGGAACATCAAGACCTCCTGCCCCTATCTAAGGCCCCAGCTGCCAGAGATGGGTGGGCAGCTGCCCCCGAGGGCGGACAAGGCTGGCAAACGGTTCCACTGCTGGAGGACGGAGAAATCCAGGCTTCCTCTCCACCAAGTGAGGGTGGCAGGCTGGCTGCAGTGGGACAGGAACCCTGGCTCAGAGGACTCTCCGCTTGGCTGCTGCTCCTGTCCAGGGTGGGGCGTCCTCGGCCAGAGAAGCTGCTGGGGCATGGGGGCGACCAGGTTGCTCTGCAGGGTCCTCCTCTCCCGTTGGAGCCTCTGGCGTCTGGCGTCCTGGACTGAAGGGTGGCAGTCCCACGTGCCACGGACTCTAGTAGCCTCCATTGTGCAGGTAAACGAGGCAAAGGCACCACCCAGAGTAGAGAGCAGGGTGCAGCTGAGAGCCCATCTGTCAACGCAGGGCTCTGCTGCTCCAGGTTTCTTAGGCAGAGGTCCGGGTCCAGGCTCTTCGGCGCTCAGGCCAAGAGGAGGCTGTGGCCAGGGCGCCAGGCCAGCGGCATCCCCAGCCTGCTTCCCGCGGGGGACGAATGGCGGCTCCATGGGGTGCAGGCCACCGGCGCAGCGCAGGGACAGTAGCGTGTGCAGCAGGGCTGAGGCAGAGTCTTCAGGGCTGCGTGGTGGCTGGGGATTTATGGGCTTCCGCGGGTGGGCGGAGCCAGCCAGAGACACAAAACCAGGTGAATGAAAATTCCAGCCAATCGGGTGTAGGAACTGGAATGGGACCGGACTGCAATACCACCGTGACTGCGTTGACCGTGACGGTTTTTGCCGCTGCCAAAAACCGCAGCAGGAATACCCAAGTGAAACCCGGCACTAAAGCGCACAGTGGAGTCACGTGCAGGGGGAGGGGCTGGGGTTAGAGGGCGGTGCTAAGCAGTGACTGCTGCGCTAAGAAACCGTAGGCGGCGACGCCAACGTGAAAACTCCTCGCAGTCGTTCTAGGGACAGAGAAATTGCTACCGTGACCGTCACTGCTAAGATAACGCGACAGCGACTCCTGCGACTCCGAAATCACAACCGTGACTCCTGAGACTAAGTCGCTGCGGGGACCGTTGCGGAACAAAGAACTCGCTACAGTGATTCCTTCAACTAAGACGTCCCAACAGTGGCTCCCGCGACTCAGAAATCACCACGGTGAATTTTGCCACTAGGAAATCACCACGGTGACTTCTATCACGAAGACATCACAGCGACCGCTGGGACTAAGACATCCGTACCGCGACGGCTGAGACAGAAATCAATGGCTGCGGTGACTGTTCCCAGTGAGAAAGGGCCGCAAGAGACGACTGAGAAATCGCTCCAGTGACTCCTGCGACTAAGAAATCGTAGGCAGCGACTCCGAGGTCTAAAGTGTCACAACCCGCGGGCGTGGATTCCCCGACCCAAGACCGGAGCGGTGACGGCGACCGCTGGGAAGGGAAAGCGCCGGCGCCCGGCCGCGCCGCGCCGTGGAAACTCGCTCCGCTCGGGCTCGGGCAGAGGAGGCTGGGCGCCACCGCGCGGACGAACGGAACGGCACGAACAGACACCGTCCCCTCGCTGTCTCCGGCGCCGCCGCAGCAGAGAAGACGGACCCAGCCAGGAACGAGCTGGGCCCTGAACTAGGGAAAATCGGCTGGGAGAAAATGTCGCTCCCTCCCGGGACCCTGCAAGGCACAGTGGCTAGCCGTGCTGCCAGCGACAAACATCCGCTTTGCCGTGTGTCCACAACGCTGTCCTTTCAAACTGGCGACCGGAGGAAAGGAGCGGTGTGGCGCGCCCGACGCTACTGCAATGTGCAGTGACAGGAGAACCGCCTGCTGCGCTGCTGGCTGTGGCCTGAGGGGAAGGCCAGGCACTGCGCAGGGCAGGGCAGCGGCAGCGGCAGCAGTCAGGCTCCTGGCAAGCAGAAAGCGATCCCTCCGAGCCGGAACCGTCCTGCTCCCAGCACTGCTGGGGAGGGAGCGCGGCCTGGTTGCCTTGTGGCTGCTGCGCGACTCACTCAGAGCATCCCCGAAACCAGTGGCCACGGACCACGTAAGCGGGGCACACCAAATGAATCTGTTTTGACAGAAGAAAAGCGCAAGCAATAGACAACCTGAACGGCACAGGGAAACGTCAGGAGAAAGAATAAAGCACCAAGTATAAATGTCATTGCGTCTTTATTTCCTGAGTAAAGACATTTTGTGAGACGAATCCTTCCAAAGAGGAACATCAAGACCTCCTGCCCCTATCTAAGGCCCCAGCTGCCAGAGATGGGTGGGCAGCTGCCCCCGAGGGCGGACAAGGCTGGCAAACGGTTCCACTGCTGGAGGACGGAGAAATCCAGGCTTCCTCTCCACCAAGTGAGGGTGGCAGGCTGGCTGCAGTGGGACAGGAACCCTGGCTCAGAGGACTCTCCGCTTGGCTGCTGCTCCTGTCCAGGGTGGGGCGTCCTCGGCCAGAGAAGCTGCTGGGGCATGGGGGCGACCAGGTTGCTCTGCAGGGTCCTCCTCTCCCGTTGGAGCCTCTGGCGTCTGGCGTCCTGGACTGAAGGGTGGCAGTCCCACGTGCCACGGACTCTAGTAGCCTCCATTGTGCAGGTAAACGAGGCAAAGGCACCACCCAGAGTAGAGAGCAGGGTGCAGCTGAGAGCCCATCTGTCAACGCAGGGCTCTGCTGCTCCAGGTTTCTTAGGCAGAGGTCCGGGTCCAGGCTCTTCGGCGCTCAGGCCAAGAGGAGGCTGTGGCCAGGGCGCCAGGCCAGCGGCATCCCCAGCCTGCTTCCCGCGGGGGACGAATGGCGGCTCCATGGGGTGCAGGCCACCGGCGCAGCGCAGGGACAGTAGCGTGTGCAGCAGGGCTGAGGCAGAGTCTTCAGGGCTGCGTGGTGGCTGGGGATTTATGGGCTTCCGCGGGTGGGCGGAGCCAGCCAGAGACACAAAACCAGGTGAATGAAAATTCCAGCCAATCGGGTGTAGGAACTGGAATGGGACCGGACTGCAATACCACCGTGACTGCGTTGACCGTGACGGTTTTTGCCGCTGCCAAAAACCGCAGCAGGAATACCCAAGTGAAACCCGGCACTAAAGCGCACAGTGGAGTCACGTGCAGGGGGAGGGGCTGGGGTTAGAGGGCGGTGCTAAGCAGTGACTGCTGCGCTAAGAAACCGTAGGCGGCGACGCCAACGTGAAAACTCCTCGCAGTCGTTCTAGGGACAGAGAAATTGCTACCGTGACCGTCACTGCTAAGATAACGCGACAGCGACTCCTGCGACTCCGAAATCACAACCGTGACTCCTGAGACTAAGTCGCTGCGGGGACCGTTGCGGAACAAAGAACTCGCTACAGTGATTCCTTCAACTAAGACGTCCCAACAGTGGCTCCCGCGACTCAGAAATCACCACGGTGAATTTTGCCACTAGGAAATCACCACGGTGACTTCTATCACGAAGACATCACAGCGACCGCTGGGACTAAGACATCCGTACCGCGACGGCTGAGACAGAAATCAATGGCTGCGGTGACTGTTCCCAGTGAGAAAGGGCCGCAAGAGACGACTGAGAAATCGCTCCAGTGACTCCTGCGACTAAGAAATCGTAGGCAGCGACTCCGAGGTCTAAAGTGTCACAACCCGCGGGCGTGGATTCCCCGACCCAAGACCGGAGCGGTGACGGCGACCGCTGGGAAGGGAAAGCGCCGGCGCCCGGCCGCGCCGCGCCGTGGAAACTCGCTCCGCTCGGGCTCGGGCAGAGGAGGCTGGGCGCCACCGCGCGGACGAACGGAACGGCACGAACAGACACCGTCCCCTCGCTGTCTCCGGCGCCGCCGCAGCAGAGAAGACGGACCCAGCCAGGAACGAGCTGGGCCCTGAACTAGGGAAAATCGGCTGGGAGAAAATGTCGCTCCCTCCCGGGACCCTGCAAGGCACAGTGGCTAGCCGTGCTGCCAGCGACAAACATCCGCTTTGCCGTGTGTCCACAACGCTGTCCTTTCAAACTGGCGACCGGAGGAAAGGAGCGGTGTGGCGCGCCCGACGCTACTGCAATGTGCAGTGACAGGAGAACCGCCTGCTGCGCTGCTGGCTGTGGCCTGAGGGGAAGGCCAGGCACTGCGCAGGGCAGGGCAGCGGCAGCGGCAGCAGTCAGGCTCCTGGCAAGCAGAAAGCGATCCCTCCGAGCCGGAACCGTCCTGCTCCCAGCACTGCTGGGGAGGGAGCGCGGCCTGGTTGCCTTGTGGCTGCTGCGCGACTCACTCAGAGCATCCCCGAAACCAGTGGCCACGGACCACGTAAGCGGGGCACACCAAATGAATCTGTTTTGACAGAAGAAAAGCGCAAGCAATAGACAACCTGAACGGCACAGGGAAACGTCAGGAGAAAGAATAAAGCACCAAGTATAAATGTCATTGCGTCTTTATTTCCTGAGTAAAGACATTTTGTGAGACGAATCCTTCCAAAGAGGAACATCAAGACCTCCTGCCCCTATCTAAGGCCCCAGCTGCCAGAGATGGGTGGGCAGCTGCCCCCGAGGGCGGACAAGGCTGGCAAACGGTTCCACTGCTGGAGGACGGAGAAATCCAGGCTTCCTCTCCACCAAGTGAGGGTGGCAGGCTGGCTGCAGTGGGACAGGAACCCTGGCTCAGAGGACTCTCCGCTTGGCTGCTGCTCCTGTCCAGGGTGGGGCGTCCTCGGCCAGAGAAGCTGCTGGGGCATGGGGGCGACCAGGTTGCTCTGCAGGGTCCTCCTCTCCCGTTGGAGCCTCTGGCGTCTGGCGTCCTGGACTGAAGGGTGGCAGTCCCACGTGCCACGGACTCTAGTAGCCTCCATTGTGCAGGTAAACGAGGCAAAGGCACCACCCAGAGTAGAGAGCAGGGTGCAGCTGAGAGCCCATCTGTCAACGCAGGGCTCTGCTGCTCCAGGTTTCTTAGGCAGAGGTCCGGGTCCAGG